CCCGCTACATGACCTCCAGCACAGCAAGACTTTCTGGATGACTCTACTTCCACCAGCTAACATGATCAGATCGGAGTGTTGGGGTTTGCACCCGGTACCAATCACCGATCTGGCATCCAACCTTCCTCTCCAATCTGAAGGTGAAACAGAGAGAGGGGAGGCGAGAGAGCAAGAGGAGGAGGACCTAGGGGGAGAGGAAGTCGAAAAGGTAGAAAGAGAAGCTGGCTGCAGCTGAAGTCATGCATGGGAAAAGTGGTTAAGTGAGGCATATAGAGAGCGAAGGATGTGGCACACACACACACACCAGAGAAACGAAGAAAGAAGTGAAAAAATGGTAAGGAGAAGTGATGCAGAGCAAGGAGCAGAGGTGGGCCGGTAGTGCGGTGGTGCGATTCCTAGTGCATCTGCAAGGCGCAACGGAGCTATCCCTCGAAATTTGAAGAGAGAAATGTTACGCCGCACAAAATGACGAAGCATGGAAACCGAATGACTATGATACATCCGATGTCCGTCTGCCAAATTCCTATGTAACCTTCGGCGTCAAAGAAAAGTTCCGTGGGCTTTCTCTGCAACTCTCCCGCTTCTCAAATACAATGACCCAGACAATTGCAGTCTGAGAGTTCCGCACTTTTCCGAGAAAATGATGTCCTTTTGATCCGATGGTTGAGATTTCCGATTCTGAGTGTGTTTACTGTGTGTTTTTCGGAGTATGTATGGTGATGTATGCATGCTGTATACTGGCCTTCTGAGTTCTGAGTCCAAGTTTGACTCTGTGTGCTAACTCTGTTGGCCGTGTTGTGTCTGAGCCTCGGACAAACAGAATAAAAATAAGGGTAGGATAAGGAGCAGGGCTGAAAGTTAGCGGCAGGAACGTAGTTCGTTAGAAGGACGGCCAGGAGCGGCAGGGACGTAGTTGGTTAGAAGGACGGCCAGGGGCGTTTGTAGAATTTGTTAGGGACCCGGTAGGGATCTTCCCGCAAGTTGGTTAGGCGTAGCTGTGGTAGTTTTCCAGTAGGTCATGATGCCAGGCCCAAATGTAGATAGCTTGCAGAGGTAGATTCTGGTCCTGCAGGAATATGACATCCTGCACTGATGTTCCCGCCAAGAGAGGGGAACATCCGATAGGCCTAGTGCACCCAAGGGAGGCCGGTGGAGGCCGGCCGTGCCCGGCTACGAGGTACTGGAGGTCGGGCAGCGAAGAGTGCATCGTTTGATGCAGTGAGTAGTCCACTCATTCACCCAGCACTAATGCTGCTGCTCCACCCAGAGGGAGAGTGAGGCGGAGCACTTGGAGGTGGAAGAAGAGCTGAGCGCAGGGAAGAAGACCTCCATGGTTATGGGGTAATTGTGGAAAGTAGGAGGAGCCCTAGGCGGACCTACCAGCAGGGTCTACCAGCAGGGCTATGGAGGTGATTGAAGGAGCAAAGGAGGTGGGAACTGACAAGGTGACTCAGCTTCGGTCATGGTGAACCTACATCTTCATCTTCCTGGTTGGCGCTGCATCGAGAAGGCCCCTGCTAGGGTACTGGTTGGACATGGCGGTACTAGGGAGGAGAGGCATGATAGTACTTGCATTGTCCTTGAATGTCTTTGCTCAGTTTGCTGTCCATTAGTAACCGTAGCAGGTGGAGTGGAGAGGGAGAGTAAGCCAAGGGAGACCTCTTTCTACACTGGCCGTTAGGAGAATCATTCAGACATTGATTCTTGTTCATTTATTCATTTTCAAGGAAGAGGTGGAGGTGACGATGAGAGGGAGATGATGGTGGCGAGAGGAGGGAGATGACAATGGTTCCAAGCTTGTGTTCTTAACTTCTTCTTCTTCTCCTTCGTTCTTCATCTCTCCTGAACTCCTTGAGTTGCAATGTATGGCATTGTCTCAAATACCACAAAATAAAAATTAAGCGATCAAACACTCCCGAAAGCAGACGGAAAAAGGAAGCATTCAGAAATCCACGCATGACAGAAGTTGGAGCGTCGTGAAATCTTCCGTGGAAGGAATCAATGCAACTGTCCCAGGTTCCCTTGGCCATAACGGAGGGAAGCATAGAGTGAGTAAACTGCGCAAGGGATGCTGGACCTCGTTTCCAGCAATTAATAAAAATAGCCCCTTCTAGTTTTGAAATCAGAAAAGAAAAGAGATTATATGTCCTTCGAGACATCCGTTAAAATTCGAACGATACAGAGAAGATTAGCATGGTCCCTGCACAAGGATGACATGCCTAAATCGAGAAATGGTCCGAATTAAAAAAAGAGGCCCAAGCGGGTTAGCGCAGTTAAGCACGTCAGTGGCAGTCAGGAGGTCTCGGGTTCGATACCCGACCTCGGTTTGTGGAAGTAAGTGGTTCTTTCCAGCCCGCGCTGGGTGTTAGGAGCTTGGGTGCTGCTCCCCACACAGAGCAGAGATAGGCAGGTGTAGAGCCACAACCTTAGTATAGTTTAGGTTGGGTTAGTGAATTTAAGTGTAATCCCTGCTGCTTCCATAGGTAGGTGTAGTCCTCCTTTGAACCGCTTAGGGAAGGTATTGCCTGTACGGATAAGCATAACAATTGGGATAGTCTCCTCGGCTAAGGTTACAATAGGTAGGTAGCTTGAGGAAGGATGTAGGTAGGTAGCTAGTGTGATATAGGCACAGTATTGAGAGAAGAAAATAGGGTTGTAAAATACAGCTGTTTTCTACAGCTTGTCCTCTGATGAGGAGAAAACAGCTGTATTTGGGGGGGGGGGGACCCACTATGCTGGACCGTCGCCCGGCTGGGCACGTCCGGCTAGGCACACCCAGGCCAGCTGGCCAGAGGGGGGGCCTCTCTCGGCAAAACCAGAGAGGTCGAAAAAGAGGCAAGGATCCCAAGAGAAAAAGAAGTGAATTCAGGCCAGAACTGCACGTGGCCTGAGCAGTCAGAATCCGGCCTTACCTTCCATTTCTGTGATGGGTCACCCAGGGGGGTTTGGGCAGTATAAACGGGGGCTGGAGGGTTTCAAAAGGGTACATCTTACCTCATGTTTCGTCATTTAATTTTATGAAATTTTATCTTAAAATTAGTAAGGAATTTTCAGGAACCCTCAGCCAAAAGTTGTTTGTATTGCAATTTAACATTTTTTTACTCGTTTTTTTTTTTCTTCTTCTTAATTATGCGCTGGGACCGCCCGGGACCCTGCCTGCCGTGGTCCGCTGAGAGCAGGTTAATGGAGACCTAAAATTTCCGACAATTTCTCATGCCATTTATAACAAAACCCAAGGGTCATTTTAACCAAACTTGCCACTAATTCATAGAGTGGAGACCATACTAGCTAATTGCAAAGACAAAAACGATTTTATTTATTTTTTACCTATAAAAGAGCAAGGCAAAAGTGCACCTTCATGAACTCTCACACCCTAATTTCAGAAATCTTTAGAAATTTCTGAAATCTCAGCAGCGGAATTTCCAATGCTCCAAATGAGACCAAATTTGGCACACAGCAACTTTGAACGAAAACAAAAACAGGCAAAAAAAAAAAAAAAACCATGAAAATTGACCCCCACACCCTAATTTCAGTTTTAAACTCGTTAACCAAGGAGCTGAAAGTGGGGGTGCCGGTTAACCACTTGTGTTTGCACTTGGGTAAAATTGAACTTGAGGATTTTCTCCAGGCTTCAATTCACTCTGATGGTAGATGAATGGTGCTAGTGGAGCATTTAGGGGAAGGGAGAGTCTACCACTGGTAAAGCTGCATTGTGCTCTCGATATGTTGTTGACACATTTGGCTTGAACTCTGAACTTCTGAAGTGTTGGAGATGTCGTAGGATTAATACTGTATTCTCCACCACTGTAGAAATGGCTAATGTGATAAATCTGCCATTGTGGCCATACTTGGGCCCAACCAGGTTGACGGTTTGGATTGGTGACAGAGCAGGACTTTTCAAGATTGGCCAACTATGGATCGCCCAGCGGAAAACCCCTGGCTGGCATGGCACTTGGCAAGCGGCCCACCACCGATGCACGCACGGATTGGAACCGGCGATCTCAGCCTCAAGCCGAGTTTCTTAACCACTACGGCCATGACACGGTGTACGAAAGTGGATCCATGACAGTCGTGATGCCCACCCCACCCCTACATGGCTGTAGTGTCCTTCAACTCACACCCACACACACACACCACACCACACACAACACACCTCACACACACAACACACCACACACACACAACACACAACACCACACTCATGCATTCGCCACACAGCAGTCCTCGCTCACTCTGCTCCCATCCAGCACGCCTGCTTTTCTGACGGGGTTTGGCCCAGCAGTGGCCAAAAGAAATGGCTTTCAAGCATGGGCATCTCGGTGGCACCACTGAGCTAGTATATAAAAAGTGGCCAGGTGCGGCAGACTATAATTCAATGCACACATCGGCATTGGAAGGGCATCACTGACCTAAAGAGATTGCTGCGCATGAGGGCAGTTTCAGTTGGCTGTTGGAATGGGCATTGCTATGGTGGGACTGGCACGAGGAAAGAAACACGCGGGAGAGAGAGAGAGAGAGAGAGAGAGAGAGAGAGAGAGAGAGAGAGAGAGAGAGAGAGAGAGAGAGAGAGAGAGAGGCCGTTTGTGTGTATGCAGTGGTGTGAGTTTTTTTTTCTTGTTTTTTAATTCCTTTTGCGGGTGAAGCCGCAACAGGTCATCTAGTGGACTACTACTGCATGAATACTTTGTGAAGAGGTGGTGCTTCCCAGCCGCTCTCTGAACACGTGATTCTCTATGCACGAGTGCTTTGTGAAGAGGTGGTGCTTCAGACGCTCTTTGAACACGGTATTCTCTATTTTATGTTGTACTTCTGTTTCCCAGTATACCCTGCCTTCACAGCGTCAGCTTCCTGACATGAATTGTTGGCAACACCATTTTTCAGCTGCTTCCATCATCATATGGTGGGTGTCTTGACTTAGGAGCACAGGGGATTGTACAGCTTAAGCATCTAGATTTCAACTGATCTGCCTGGATTTGTGTTATCTGCTTGCATGATACCAGTCTGCTCTTGATCATATCCTTGCAGATCGGACTAAGGAGCTGGAAGCGGCATTGCCTTGGCCACGGCTGACAACCCTTTCATGTCCAGAGAATGGGATGCAAGTGATGGATGCATCTTTGGTGAGTAGTGCAAGCCTGAAGGATATGAACTACCTCACAGCAAAACTGGTTGCACTTGCTGTATCAACTGCTTATGTCACCACAACTATAGACGTAGCCAACGTCACTACCGCCTCGTCTTGGCTGTGGTGGTCCAGATGCTCGCCCAATCTGAAATTTTTGGTGATTGATTGCGAATCTGGGCCATGCGGCAGAGGGAAGCCCAGGTTCGCAGGCGGTCTTACCAATATTGGGTGATCGGCACGGATTCTTAAGCTGTTTGAGGGCGCACGACCTAGATGACCAGACAAAACCAAACTTGGGAAACTGCCCCCAACTGTCAACACACGTGCGAATGGGCCACTGGGAACCTCTACCTTCTGCTGTGGGCCACTTGAACCTCTGCCTCTCACTGCCAGCCACCTTTCCTCGATATCGACCGTCCTGCTCTCTCTCTGCCTTCCCCCCAACCCCTCTCTCCCATCGCTTGCCACCTTCCATGCCACCAGCCACCTTCCCCGCTGTCCCACCCCACACTCTGCAGCTGCTGGGCGCCTTCCCCACCCTCCTGCCCAGCTGCCGGAACATCAGGTGAGAGAGAGAGAGAGAGAGAGAGAGAGAGAGAGAGAGAGAGAGAGAGAGAGAGGTGCAATAAATCGCAGTTTCCCAGTCGGGCTGTAGTGTTCGGCTGTGTAGTTTGCTTACTTGCTGTTTCTTTTGTTTTGAGCTTTGCGGGACTTGATTCCGTGACCTGTAACTCGTGTGTTTTGTTTGTGAGTGTTGCGCCCTATGGGACTTTATCCCTGAGTCTGTCACTAGTAGTCTCTGTTTGGTAGTCTTAGGCCATTCGGCCCTTTCCTTTTGCCTTTTCATAGGTCTAGGTCCCCTTTTCCCCCTGTGTCCATCTAGATACAGATGAGTCTTGGGTTGTTGCCTTTGGAGTCCGTCATAGGTCTAGGGAGAGGGTAGAAGTAGCGGGCAGGAAATTTGGTTCGGGTCTTTCACGTTTTCGTTGGCTGGGGAAACTCTGCCCGTCCGTTGTTGGAGGGCTGCTGCTCTATTTTGGGCGAGGTCAGCTTCTTTCTCGAAGCCCAGCCATAGCTGGGGTTGAGAAACGATGTTGAAGATCGCACTGCTGCTCTTTTGCAGCTCTGCATGAGAGCTTCCAGAGGACTGTGTTGTTGGGTTTGGGCGCTGCCATTTTCCACTCGGCAGCCATATCTGCTGTTCCTCACGAGGAACTTCATCTTATTCGAAGTGCTGGATCGGTTGTCTCCTAATTCATCAGGACTTCCAGCGCTGCACTTCCATGCGGGCGCTGAATGGCGCTGCTATCATTGGGGTTGCTAGTTCAGATTGGCTTGTTGTGACAGCTGTGGGGTTACTACTGCTATGGAAGCCATAGCCAGGGGTATGAGGGGGCGAGGAGGAAAAATAAGACTCCTGCGTACTTCATTGAACGCTTGTTTTTGGTTGTTCAGGGTTGTTGTAAACGCGGTTGTAATTCCTGGAACAAGTACTCTCGATTGATTGGAGGAGGACGGGGGATTGCAGAATTGAAATTCGTTTTTCAATTGTCAATTTGTCTGTGTATTTTGAGCTTCGGCTGTGCATATCTTCTCTCCGGTGTTGTGTGGATTTGCCTCCTTTGAGTCTACTCTGCAGTTGCATGCGTGAAAGGGAACATGTGAATTCGTTGTGGATTGAAGTTCAGTCGCGTACATAACAGATGCATGGCCGGGGTGAATCGTCAACGCAAGTGCAGAGATCATCAATATGAGGAAGAGATGCAATGTGGCACAGCGGACGACCAATCGGATCAACTGACGATGCAGCAGAAATGACTCTGTGCTCAAATCCAACCTGACGCCCAGCGGGAGCAGTCTAAACATAGAAGAGACCTCCCGCTGCAGACAAAGGATCAGGTGGTAGATGAAGGAATGGAGGAGGAGGAGGAGGAGGAGAAGGAGGAGGAGGAGGAGGAGGAGGAGGAGCAGGAAGAAGAAGAAGAAGAAGGATGCAGACCTTGGGAAGGGTCTGGGCAGCTGAGGGCAGCCTGTAGAACATGTACGGGCGCCTAGCCGGTGTCGGAGGCCTTCAGCATGCCACACACAACACCCACACACACACACACACACACACACCACACACACACAC